TATATATAGTCTTGGTTTCAAATTATCTGTCATTAATTATAACTAATTTGTATGTATTTTTAAATAATATTTTTATATTAAATGTAGGTGACAATTGAAAATTTTTTATTTTTCTGTGTAATTCTTTTCTAATAATTTTATTTGATGGAAAAGTATTATCAATAACAATTCATATATTATATAAAAATATTATTTAAACTTTTTGTGCAAAGTAATTATTCTGCATGAGAGGTAATTTTAGATGGACGACGTATATTTTTATGTGGACTGCATACGTTTATAATTAATACACAGATCCATTTTCTTTAACAAAAATTCATTTCCTTCATATAAAAAAAACATACACACATACTCATACAAAATAGATCTTATCCATTTCCCATAGATACATATAAAATTAAAAGTTGTGTGGTAAAAAAATTGCATAAAAAGAAGTTCGTGGTAAAACACAAAAGTGCAAATCCTAAGATTCCAATTTTAACATCATTGACTGACAAACATAAAAATTCAATCACCCCTCATGTTTCTTCCAACTGAGGGATTGATGATGCACATAATCGATACATAATCGATTTTCAAGAACTTCTTTAGACACTCACTTTTAGGGAAAAAAATGGATAATATGGACAGAAAATTGAGGGCTTTTCATAAAGAACAGTGGGGAAGGGACGTAAAAACACCTGTAATAAGCGTGAGTAAAAAGGGCTACCAACTTGATAGTGTGTGGATATGTGTATTTGTGCATGGTGTGGCGGTGGTCCGGAAAAAACATGGCGGTACTAATTAAACCGAAAGGAAAGAGGGAAAAAAATGGAAGAGGGAAAATGTCAACGGTTTTGAAAAAAGATGCTCAATACAACTTTGAAAGTTTTTTGGATCATAATTCTAACTCAGAACTCCGGCGTCTTCTTCTTTCATGATGACTTCCTTTATCAATTTTCGTGCATGTCCCCATATCACTCACCGACGTTACTAGTAAATAATCGAAATTAAGATAGATCCAGAAATTTTAATTAAAAAAATATTTTATGAAGCATGCTATATATTTAAAGTGAAATTTATTTTATAAATTTATTAAAATATTTTTGATAATTTTTTTATTTTATTAAAAATATTTTAATTTTTTTTAACAATTTTGACATTATTTACAGGTATATATGAGAGGGGAGAGAAATGAGTTTCATGGAGTTCGAATATTCCACCCACGAAAATGAACAGTCTTGACTCAGGATCCAATGCCATTGGGTCGGAACGGGCCATTTTATTAAAAATATTTTAATAAATTATAAAGTAAGTTATACTTTTAATATATAATTTAGACTATTAAACATAAATCCCAATTTTTATTTGATATAAAAAGTAAATTTGACTAAGGGCGAAGGCCAAAATTCTGCTCAAATTTTTCCAGGTATTTTCATTTATTTTTTAGGCCAATTTTGGATTAACCATTCCTGCCTTTGCTTGCATGAAACACCCATATTTGTAGTTTAATTTGATGATTCGACAGACATCTATTAGTAAAAGCAATGCACAGACATAATCTAATGAGCAAAAATATAGCTAAACTCCACTAAGATTTATAGTATATTTGAATTAAAGGGAATGAAGAGGAAGGAAAGGATGAGGAAAAAAAAAATTTATTTGATTATAAAAAAATTAAAAGGAAAAGAAAGGGAAAATTTTCCTTTATTTTTTCTTTTAATTTGATTATTTATCCAAAAGAAAGAAAGGGAGAGGAGGGAAATGGAGGAATGAAGGGATTTAATACTCCTTACCCTTTTCCCTCAACCCAAACATAAGGTTCTTAGTCCTATGTTATTTTCATTCATCCTAAAAAGTTAAGCAGCTTAACTAGTAACTAGCCTAATTTCGAATTGCTCATTTGTCAATTGTTAGGACATCCATTCTGTTCATTTGACAATTGCCATCCCCATTCTCTTTTAACAATTTTAAATTAAGACAGATAGGAAACAGCCGATCAAAAAAAAAAAAAAAAAAGAAATTCATGTTATTACAAGTTAATAGCATAGTCAACCAGAGAGAGAGAGAGAGAGTTCAGTGGTTATGGGCATATCCAAGCTTTTAGAAAGTATGTGTAAGGTGATGCAGGCTTAAGGTAGAATATACGTCGTATACATGTCGTTTTGCCTACTAAAAAAGACTGCCTCTTTTATATCTCTCTCCGCACATCCAGACAAATCAAAAGCTCTTTCTTCTATTCCCTCTCAAATATTTGTGTCCTCTTCTACCCAGGGAATCTCATCTCAACATACCTTACTTTGCTTCTTTCTCTCCCCCCTTCCAAACCTAATAATTACCAAACACTTCTTTTCTCTGCTTTTCTCTTTTACCTTCAGCCGCAAATCCCTATACGACCCCACATCCCCACTCCTTTTTTTCCCCCACACTCTTCACCATTAAACATTGACTTATGGCCTAGTAAAGGTATTAAATTCAAGTCATAGATAACTAGATGAGATAAATAAAGAGAATGAGAAAAAACTTTACCTGTCATCTGCAATCCAATATTTAAAAGAAAAAAATACACACATGCACACATAATTGTATATATAAGTCGAGGTAAGCATATTTCAGATGGATAATAATGCATGCACACTCCTGCATCACACACTCCATTACACACTTCAATTTCTGTTATTTTGCTATTAATTACACTTAAAACTCCGATACCATCTCTTCAGCCATCTCCCAACTCGCCCAACCCTTTCCATCCTCATCAGATCCATTTTCCTCCTCACCTCCATCCTTATTCTAATCATCTGCAAGACAATTGCCAGCCTCTCTTGGTTCCCACCTTCTTCCTTTTTTCTTTTTTTTTTTCTTTTTCTTTTTTGTTTTTTTTGGAGAACCCAAGTTTGGGTTCTCTCAAGAACCCGAGAAGGAAAAAAAAAAAAAAAGGAAAAAGGTGGGAACACGGTGAGAGTAAAATGGAGACTAACGAAGTGTGAAAGTTAATGAAAAAAGGAGTGTGTAACAGGAGTGTGGTACGAATGTGTATGTGCCAATCATGGTCTATTTTAGATATTACCAAAGTATTGAAAATTTTTATCCAAATTTTTGAATTTGGTTCAAATAATTTAGATATTTGGATAAATTCAGATAAAACTGAAATGACTAAATAAAATTTCAGTTCAAATAATGTTATTAATCCAAATTTAAAACTATCGCAATGAGCTATCAAATTATCTAAAA